TCTCTCTCTCTCTCTCTCTCTCTCTCTCTCTCTCTCTCTCTCTCTCTCTCTCTCTCTCTCTCTCTCTCTCTCTCTCTCTCTCTCTCTGTGCGCTCGCTCACCAGGAATACCTTGCTCCCACGTGGCATCTCTCTCTCTCTCTCAGTGTAACTAAAAAAACAAACAGCCTCAGGTCCTCCACGCACCCAGAGGGGGCTTTTTCTCTTTGCTTATTCTTTTTTTTTTTTTTTTTTTTTTTTTTCAATGCAGTTCGCCCCACAAATGGACGAAAAATATTACAAAGAAGAAAAAAAAAAATTCGAGGAAAACGCCAAGATTTAGATGCGGCAGACGACTAATGGAATTGAATTACTTAAAGAATTCACAGCACATCTTCGACGGCAGTCATTTGGATGAATCAGACCATCTCAGATATCTTCGGCCACTCCCAATCACGTATCTTAGGTAAACAAACAACCACCTCTCCCAAGGCTTGAGTGGAGAGTGATTGGGAGGGGTGGAAGCACGACCCTCCTCCTTCCACCCCTCCCTCTTGCAATCTTTACATCGCCATCACAGATACGACCAAGTGGGCTCTCGAAGGCTGCACGACCCTCCTCCTTCCACCCCTCCCAATCACTCTCCACTCAAGTCACAGCCGACAGAAAGAATCAGCGACGACAACGATCACTCTGCTTGCCAACGTGTTACGTGGACAGCGAAAAAAAAAACGGAATTGAACCGTCAACCTTCTCCTCCTACCCGAACAAGCTCGCCCATTACGTGAGAGAGAGGGGAAGGCGTGAATCGAAGAGGCGACGAGGAGTTAGGCTGTCACACTCTAGAATGAAAATGTCTGCGCATCTCTGCGCATCTCTGCACATCTTGCTCTACTCCGAGAATATGCTGCTGCCAGTGGCAGCTCTCTCTCTCTCTCTCTCTCTCTCTCTCTCTCTCTCTCTCTCTCTCTTATTCTGTCTGTCTGTCTGTCTGTCTGTCTGTCTGTCTGTCTGTCTGTCTGTGTCTCTCTCTATGTGTGTGGGTGTGAATGAATACCCCGCTGCCACGTGGCAGCTGTTTGTGTGTGTGTGTGTGTGTGCGTGCGTGTGTGTGTGTATACCTCACAAAAAGACGACCTTCTGAGGGCACACGAAAAGGCTCTTTTTTTCTTTTTTCTTCTTCTTCTTTTTTGGTGGGGGTGGGAAGAAAAAAAAGAACTCCGGAAGGGATAACGGTGTTGCATCCCTCCTTTCTCTCTCTCTGTCAGAGACTCTCCCTCTCTCTCCCTCTCTCTTCTTCTCTGTCTCTGGCTACGAGTACCCCGCTGCCATGTGGCAGCTCTCTCTCTCTCTCTC